TTGCTAGTGTACTTGCCGTTCTTCACAATGGGACGTCCAGGATAGTCTGGGGCAAATCCCTGCCTGGCCACTTCAGTCAGGTCTATTCCAGCCTGTTGCACCAAATTGCTAGTGCCACCAGGTCACATCTTGTCAGGGTGCCAGTACATTGGGCCCTTCATGTACTCGGAAGTGTACTGCAAGTAGACCTCTCATACATTGCAAGGCGTCTCAATATGCACAAACTCAGAATGCCCCTCCAATGGTTCTCAGTAAAGCAAGGATGTTGTAACAAGAAGTCTAATATAGAATATAGATGCTATGTCTCGCGTCCTGCTCAAACAGGCGCTCATCGGCAGGTGTCTCCACATAGGGCTTGCCCTGAGAAAGCAGTTGTGTAAGCCAATGCTCCCATGCATCACAAATCAAGTATATAAATGTGCTGTGCAAAACCTCTACAGTCTGACACAGCTACCGCAAAGGGGTCAAGGCCGCTGCTCCGCCCTCTGCTCGGGCTGCAGTCGACGCTCTCGCGCGCCAAGCTGCGGCAAGGCCCACATGGGCACCCAGTGCAAGGCCTCCATTCACACGTCATTAAACCAAAAGAGGTTTGCACCTCGAATTGATACAGAAACACCCCTGCAAGTGGCGATTGCTGCACCTGCAGCAGCCAAGCCCCAGCTGGCAGACTGCGTAGCAGCAGATCCACTCACTCCGGAAGCAAGTGGCCTTCTTGGACAAACCAGCTTCACATGGCTCGGTGTCAAAACGTTTTGCGGCAAAATCAAATCTCTTGGGCGAAGACGTGGTGGGTGTTGGAGCCCGAGTTGGTGCAACAACAAAGGCCGCTCCGGCTGCAAACGCAGCCACCGTCGCCACACCAGCTGCTACAGCAAGCCGAGTCATGGTTTGTGAAGCTTTGAAGAGCCAAAGGAGCTGTCAGAGAATCATTCACAAAAAAAGGAAGAAGAAGCTGCATCAAAGCCCAGTCAACCAGAATTTGCAAAAATAATCCAAACCCCTTTTGGAGAAGAAGATCAACTCAGGCTGCTTGGAGATTAGTGGCCGAGGTCTGCACTCGCCAAGCTCATAAGCTGCCGTCAATCAGGGCAGTGCTGGGCAGCATGTCATGGCTGTGGGCAGCTGTGCCAGTAGACCCCAGTGTTTGGCTTCGTGTGTCTTCTTCCTCTTCCACGTCTCTTTAGGGTGTCTTTAATCTCTATTAACCTTTATGAATCTTTATGACAGCTTTCAGGCTCTCAGAAGCCTTCGATTGCATTGGAAGTCTTGTTTGCCCTACTGGCTTTTTGACCGGTGATTCAAATGAGTCCTTCCTCAGTTGAGCCTTCTGGCCTAATGCTAACTGGAACCTAGCGAATCTGAGCGCCAAAATACCAAAAAGCAGTGACTTCGGGATGACTGGTGTGGCTATGTACACATTTGAGAACAGCAAGCCACAAGGGAAATCCCTGACACCTTCACTAACGTTAAGTCTGTGCAGTCGCGACCCGTCTTTTTCACGCTGATCGCGCTCAGCGGCTGCTCTAAGTGCCTTCCAGAGGCTGCGCCCAACCGAACTGGGACACAATCTGGTGCAATCGGTACCTGTGCAAAGGGACCGAACGGAGACCACTTCAAGCCTCTAAGGACAAGCTGAACTGATATGTGGCGCACGGCAGTCTGAGAGCAAGGTCGCCCAACAAGCACTCGAAGGAGAAAGCATAACTGTCACCTTGCTCTCGAGCGCCCTGGCGATTCAACAGTGTCTACATCGCACTCCGTGACACTTCTCCTGCTCTTCTCGTTTCCGTGATTTATGTTTGTCCTTTCTTTTTCTGACTTTGTCTTGGTTTGTTTTCCACCGGGCTCTTGCGGGCTTGTGTGTCAGAAAAGATTGTAAGGAAATGTAAGGAGGCGTTGTCTTGAAAAGTCTTTCGTGCCTTGACTCTATCCTGGTTCATTATTCTCTTGGCTTGCACTCTATGTGTTTTTACCCAGCTTTCGGAGCCCCTCACATGGCCAAATGAAACAAGTCAGACTTTGGGAGTTGCAGCATCGACGATAACGCTCAAAAATACAGAAAGCACAATTTGGGACCTAGATATCTTATTCCCTCTACTCCTGCCTGCATTAGTTTGGCTTCTTCAGCCGTGGCACTATCAAGCAGAAAGGCAACCTTAGTCACAAAATAACGAAACAAAAAAAGGGTGTCACAATTTGACTGAGATTAATCTGGTGCAAAATTCAGATTTCTCGGCGTTCTTCGCTTTTTAGACGGTGGAATGGATGCTGCCAATCCCCTGCAGCACAAACCGATCTACAGTTCGTCTGTGATATCCGAATTTGTGTGAGCGCAGAAACCGCTGCAGCATCAAGCTCCTCTTGTCGCAGCCTTACAGAGCGGTCCAGAGAAATGCTGAGGAAATGCTGAAGACATCATGTTCCTGAGCTTCGGACGCCAGTTTCACTCTGTAGATAAATTCGCTGGGAATGAGAGGCCTTCGTGCAGGCAAGCTGATGGGTGGCTTCAAGCGATGAAAAAGCTGCCCAAGCATGGTTCTTTGTAGTAAGAAGAGTCTGCTGAACTCTTCGTCTTTTGCGTTTAGAGTCTAGAGTCTAGAGTCTAGTCTGCCTGTTTGTGCGAAAGTTGCGAACCTGTAAAGTCACGTAGACGGAAATATCATGGGAGCGGCGAATGAACCCCCTTTCCGCCGGTCAAGTGGAGAACGATGGTCGATATAGTCAATCGTCATGTCTGGACATAGAAGACGTGCTTATCTAAAGATCATCATCGGACAAAAAGCACCTCAATGTCCCCAACAAAAAACTTGAATTTGCTTGTATTTGAAGCAGTTCCAGGGCGTACAAAGAGCACGCCAATTTGACTTGGATGGGGTACAATACATGGTGGCAGCACTGAGCCCTCGAAAAGCATCTGTTGTTCATTGTTTCAAGCCTTAAGACATACAAAAAGAGTGAAAGGAGGGACACTCAAACACTTACAATGAGTTTTTGTCACTGGCACCTTTTGATTGTGGATCTTCAAAAAATTGACTAGGACATATTTCAATCAAGTCCCTTGACAAATCCTGTCCTCAAAGTTTTTTTCTGGGCTCCTTGAGCTCCCTTGCCGACAGGCAGTTTTGTCACTGACTATCTTTGCCTGGAGAGAAATATCTCTATCTACAGTTTTTATCTTGACCTCTCGGAGAGGTTTGGAGACTCCTGTGGAAACAAAGTTTGCTCCTAGGAAGATGTGTTGCGAGTTGCTCGACGCCGAGTTTTGTTGGCAAGCACCCACCCAACCCCTGGCTACTCAACTTGAAACGCCCGGTCGAAAGGATGACCAATGAAATAAAGGCAGTTCAGAAGGACCTCCTGTAGTAGTATGCCCTTTGTTACTAGTAGCGATGCCAGGAGCTACTAGTAGCGTCCTTGCTCCTAGTAGCGATGCCCTTTGTTACTAGTAGCGAGAATGCTACTAGGAGTTTCCGCAAAATGCACCCACGACCGGATACCAAATCTTCACCGCCAGAAGCCTCTCGCACAAGTACCGGCTCACGTAAAGACGGAGAGCGGCATGGCCCAAAGGAGCCAATGCCTGGGCGTTCGGGATGGCGAATTGATCACTGAAAGAATTGAAAAATAACGTGGTATGGTACAAGACCTTAAGGCATCAAAGGTTTCTGGCTCAAAGGAAGTAGAAGCCTGGGATGGAAGAAGTGGCCACCGTTGACCCAGACTGACGGCCAAGATGCCAAGAAGTAGTTGCCAGGCGGTCGAAGGGTAGGATCAAAGATGCCTCATACCACATGCCACGATTCGTTCAGCTTTCTCAATCGCAGAAAAAGAAAGGCTTCATATGAAATGAACATCTCATCTGATCTCAATGAATTCTTGTGTGCCACCGGCCCAACAGTTAGCGTCTTGTTGTGAGATGTTCTGAAAACTACAAATGCGTCTTCTTGTACGTCAGCCTCCTGTGATGTCTGCCAGCATCTGGTCTTCCACCCCAGGAGCGCCAAGTAGCCCGATCTGGGATTCAGGCTACTTGGGTGTGTCTCAACGGAATCAAACGGTGGAATCAAACGAGATATTCCATCTTGTCAAGAAATGTCAAATGACACAAAGTGTGGAGCAGCCTAGCTGCCTTCTTACTATCATTGTATAAGACTTTTCTGCACGATATTCCTGGCCACATTGTCAGGGTGCCTCATCCACAATTCTCATCACATCTTGGTCAGACGTGGCCGCGTCCATGTAGGCATAACCCAGCAAAGTTCGAAGGCCTAATGCATTTGAATACCTGCCAGTTCAGGAGAAACCCCAAATTAAAAGCCTGTGGCATCATTCGTTGATCACATAGACTTCTGCAATGAATGAGCCAAAGCAAGGCGCACATGTTCACGCCTACGCTTCTGATGCTCTCAAAGTTCATCCTGACCTACCGGGACATTTGTCGTCACAAGTGATACTCGACAAAGTGATACTCACCTGAGTTTCAGGGAACATAGGAAATGATGCAAAAAAGATGCTCTCATAGACTCTTTCTAGGGCATGCAAGGTCCGTTGCCCACCAAACTGCTCAAAGCCCCCCTTTGAGCCGCCACCTTTGTCATCCAGGTCTTCTGGGCACCCTCAAGCATCACTTGTCGCTCCCGTTTAGTCAGAATCCTCAGAACAGAACAACAAGTTGGTCGCAGCTCTGCCAAGCTGTCCTATGCTGACTGGGCAGCTCTGCCTGCTGCGGTAGAGCATCACACCAGCTTTGCCTTGTCTTTGGAGTCTCACCTGCCAGCACTGAGGGAATTTATGAGTGCCCCTGGCGGCCCTTGCTGCCCAAAGTCAAGAATAAGAACTCGAGGCGCGAATTGGACTGATTTACCTTGCCAACATGGTTCTTCGGCCTCCTGACTCTCCGTGAAGGGGCTACGCACCACCTGCAAAAGGAAATGAGACCAAAACAGCGGTTTATGTGTATCAGCCACAAAGTTGGTCAGGCATCCTGCCTGCTGGTACTGGTGCCGGAGAACCAGGTATTCCCACACAGTATCACCAATGTAGGCTGCAAACAAGCAGGTTGCACTTGCAGCCAAGTCAAGGACGCATTCCAGCCAAGCAAAAGCAAACTGTTGAGGTCCAACTCGGGTCTTGAATCATTTCGACCCTCTGACCAAGGCTCGCACCCAGGATGTCCCTCTCCAGCATCCCTCGAGTCAACCTGATCCGCCTTCTGATGTCATCAGGCGGAACGATCCCCTGCGGCAAAGCTCGGTCAAACTGCATTGGTGACTTTGAGCAAAGGCAGAAATGCAAAGGAAAAAGGGAGCACAAAGGGAGCACAAAGGGAGCAGAGGTACCAAGCTCTGAGAGTTTTGCCATTTTCGAAGACCAGCTCTCAGGAGTGGCTGGCACCACGTCCTGAAAATTGAAAAGGGGGAAACATGATAGCTTAGCTTGGCTACAAACATGGCAACCTTCTGTGTGTGTGTTTTCCAAAGCTGTTCCACCCTCTCATAACCAAACCGTAGTAATCATTTGTCACTTACTTGTCCATACTTGTCCAACACGATGTGTTCTGCCATGTTTTTCACGTATATAAACATTCTTTGCCGATATCCATGGGCAGTAGGCTAGGCTCCCACACAAATAGGTCATCATCAGTGTGCTGCAGCACAACCTGACAGTAATTGAGTCAAATTGAGTGTTTGGATTGGATCATAGACTGGAGCAAAGACCAAGAAAAGGGACTTGCCAATGGTTCTACCAATAGCTTCTATTATTTTGATCTATTCGGGCCATGGTTCCAACAGTTCTATGTCCAATCGGAGATAATGACAGGTTTTGAGGTGAAACGCCCAATCAGACTGCCTCCGAGGCCTTCAATCTCATCATACCTTGAATGCTTCCAGGCACTGCTCACGATTTGAGATATGCAAAGCTCTTCACGCCACTAGGGGTGGCTTTTTGACTGACTATGCAGCTCCCCTTTGGAAAACATACACACGTACTGAAAAATGTAAACAAAATGTGGACATCATAGATATTTAAAATAACGCGTGCGTTTGCATGAAAAAAGTCAATCAAAATCGCAGCTAGCAAGTGTGCCGCGTGAGAAAGCAATCAAACACGTCTCCCACAAGTAGATTTGGGGCCTGCTCCTCGCGCGCTATGACCCTTCTGATACCTTCTCCTGCTGGCCTCAGCTGAGAAGTGACACAAGTCCTTCTATGCGTTTCCCCCACACAAACTGTGGCTGGCACAAGCAGCCGAAAGTGTCCAACAATACCACCAAACTAAAGGAAAGAAAATTGTGACCGTTCTCTAGAACCCGTCCACCATGCTTCAGTGGCTACCCTGCCACATCTCTCCAGCAACAAACAAGCCTCACCTCGAAGCAAACACTGAGCTCGGAACAGCTAAAGTACCCAAAACAGCCGCAGACAATGCCGAACAGGACAGCTGCCTTCACTATTGTATCACATACTACCTTTTTTGAAGTGTGCTCCAAAAGTCAGTTGAAAACATTTGAAAAGCTCAGCACCCTGCCTCGCTTCTCTCTGAATCCGTAGGCGGTCATGATCTCTCGGCAAGCTCAACACCTCCGTAAATAAAACAACTGGGCAATGAGGTTGTTTGCTAAAAGTCACTCTGTATTTCTCTGTAAGACTCTTGACGTTATCGTTCTTTTGTCTTCCTTATCGTGTTGCAGCTATACAATAGCGCACCAAACATCATTCCCTCCCCTCTTGTTGTCCATGGAGATCACAAGGGCGGTGTTTTAGGCTCGTGGCGTCACTGCGTTATCGTATTGTCGCTTTAAAACCTGGGCAGCCTAGTGCAAACACCATTTTCCCTGCAAAGAGTGTTTGGTCCGTACTCAACATACTGAACCCTGGTGCAAGCATCCCTCGTCTTTTCCATCCAAACAAGAGCTATCCGGGGTTATCGTTGTTCGTTCTTTCCCATCATTTTACAGTCGATTCGGCATGCTTCCGGCAAAACGGACAATTCAACTTTCTTACATGAAAGGGAAGTGTCCTTCAGCAAAGGTCAACAAAACAACAAAAATATGCCTTCAAACCGCTTCCACACTGTCTGTGCCTGCCAGTGATTCCCGGGGAGGGTCCTGGCACAAAATGTAATTACAAGCACAAGTATGTGTACGCAAGGCTTTCGAGACCTGGAGAACATCACACTTCGAGACCTGAAAGCGATAGAGACAAACCTCCATATACCATTGTGACAATTGAATTGTGCATGTGAAATCCGTATATACGATATACATAGAAAAGCTATATACGATATACATAGAAAAGCTAAATAAATACTCATATAAGCAAGTAGATAGATGCATGGATAGCTATTCATGCTTCATAAGGAACCCTCTTGAGTATGGTTGCAAGGCAACCGCCCCTTTCCTTGAACAAGAAGTGCTTTGGATCTAATGAACAAGTGTCCATTCCGTGAGGCCCGGTGAGGCGCTTCATAAGCCTACAGCACCAGCGCCTGGTGCTCACGAAGGCTGGAGAGGCCATGGCAGCCTCGAAAAAGACACATGCTCCGAACTGGAGAGGTCATGCCCCTACAGAGGCTGCCAATGTGCCTAGTCATGGCCTCCTACAGTGCAAGATGGCAAGTTACACGATTCAGTGAGTTGTGCAGTCTTTGGACACGGCCAGCATCCTCCTCGCTCAAGCACTTCTTTTGAAGGCTATAAAAACGGAGTTCCCCTCATCCTGCTCACTTGCCGTTCTGCTTCTGAATGTAGCAGGCAATGTGCATGAAGAAGGAGATTGGCAACAGGAGGGACTCCACAATGTAGGAGGCGTTGAAGTATCCACCAGCATCAACCTTTGCCCACTGGGGGTCGTAATAGTTGAACCTTGGATGACCCAAAACAGTTGGCATTGCAGCAAGCTCGGCCCAAACTGTCCTATATATTGCATATACATAAAGGATATATATATATA